AGGGTCGAAGGTACCGCTGCATTGTACACTCTGCCCTTCAGGGCGAGAGTAATGTCGCGCGAAGGTTAGCAAAAGCGCTCCGAGCTTTTGCTATACGATTCGTGATCTCGTCTTCGATCCCAAGGGCGCTGATACAACTTCCCAGGTAATTGAATTTCTGAACGAATTCTAGCTGGTCCCCAGCAAGGGTCAGCGTAGGAGGCGATCCCTGCCAAGCTTAGATGAACGCTTTGCAAATCGATGGTACAAAGCAAAGCCCGAAGCGGCTGACAACTAGTGCTAATCTGTCCAGCGCGGCTTGGCACGTCTGGGAGCTGTCCAAGTCAAAAACCCGTTCTCCTGGGAGAAGCTCCACACCTTCCAAGTCATGTCCTGTAAATGCAATCGCCATGACTTCGTCAATAGAGAAGTTGAAGAAGAAAGGTGACAGCGGGCATCCTTGTCTCACACCGCTGGAGATATTGAAGGGTGGCGACAGCTTGCCGTAAGCATTCACTCTGCCCGTGCTACGTGCATATAATGCTTGGATAGCATTGACATATTTCTCGGGCACACCTTTCCTTAGGAGACAATTTCAAAGGGCACATCGATCAACCAAATCGAAGGCACCTTTGATGTCGAGGAACACGACTACGGTGGGCCGCCAATATGTGCGACGGTGCTCCAACAACTGACGCAAGGTGAAGATGTGATCGATGCAGCCACGACCACGATGAAACCCGGCTTGCTCCTCAAGAGTCTGACTTTCACGAGCGCCAGTCAGTCTGTGAAGAATTATGGGGGCGATGGAGATCAGACTGATTCCTCTATGGTTGCCGCATTCCGAGCGCGAGCCGCCTTTGAAGATGGGAACAATAACGGAGCGGCTCCAGTCGGTTGGAGCAGTTTCCTGCTCCCACAGTTTGACTAGTAACTCGTGTAAATTATCCACAAGAGCAAGTCCCATGAATTGGAAGAGGGCTGGAGGAAAATCATCAGGTCCCGCGGCTTTGTTTAACTTCAACAGTTCGATCTCAAGTTCGACTTCTGAGCGAAAGGGTGGATCCAAAGGGACAGCCTACGGAGCAGGGCGATCAGTGACCAGCGAGAAATCAAACCATTCCGACCGATTAAATTGCATTTCAAAATGCTCAGCCCAACGCTCTAAACGTTTTGATAAGTTGTGGATAGGCTGTCCACTCTTGTTACGTATAGTTACACTAACACCAGGTCTTTTGCTGCCCGTTCCCCGTATCAGACGGAATAACTTACGATGGTTACCAAGGGCAGCGGCCATTTCCATCTCTGATGCACAACGAGACCACCAGGATTCGCGGTCTCTCTTCAGGCTAGCACGAAGTTTTGCCCGGAGCATTTTGCGAGTTTCACTGTGTTCGCTTCCAGCCGGAATATGCCGGCGAGCATCTATAAGTTCCAGAGACTTTGAATCAACCCAATGTCCACGTTGGATATTAGACATACCACATGGGGAGTTTTCTGCTGCTAATAACGTCTGGTGAATAGGAGACCAGTGAGCTTCAATTGCATCCAATGAGTGTTTATCCAAATCGCATGACAACGTACTATGAAAGGCATTCAGCACAACGGCTTCGCCAGTTGGCCGGTGTCAATGCGCTCACAACATCGTCGTGGGCGTCCGCCAAAGCGCATCAGCATGTCAGCACATACAAGAGCATGGTCGGTGTCCACACAAGTGCTCCAAATCGAGCAACAATTCTGGATGCAGCCTCTCCAGCGGTAACTTATCGCAATGTGATCGATTTGCGTCCATAGCTGGTTCGAGGCTGGTGGGCGCCAAGTCAACTTCCGGCGGGTGCTGTGTCTGAAATTAGTGCTCGCAAGAAATAAGCGAGCATCCTCACACAAATGAAGTAACCGCTCACCGTTATCATTACGGGAGCCTAGACGATGTTGGCCGCCCAGATGCAGCTCATCTGTGGATAATTTTCCAACTTGAGCGTTCAGATCCCCCGCCAGCACTACAGTGTCTGAGCTTCTTCTGTGGCTAAGGAGCTAGGTCAGTTGGCGGTAGAAGTCGTTCTTTACCGAATCATCGCTACAGTTTGTGGACGCGTAGGCAGCGATAAGGAATAAACACCTGTTAGTTCCATGCGAATTCGAGGTTTTGAACGAGCCAGCCAATCGGACCGCACACATCCGGCTACTGATTGGAATCCAATCAACCAGAGTAGCTTCAGCCCGGGGACTCGGGGCAACACCAACACCGGCTTGGCCGGTACTCGAAGCTGCATTGGCACCGGATAGGCGCAATGAGAAAACACTGCTTGCGTCACCTGAAGGGGATCGCAGAGTGAGCACACAGCTCGAGTCTTGCAGGCGAGTCTCAGATAAGCAGCAGATATCGATCGAGAGGGTCTCCAATGTTCGGGCAAGTGCTGCCTGTTGACCGATTTGTAGCAATGTGCGTACATTGAGGCATACCAATCTGAAGGAGGATCGAGGGCTCCAAATGGAAGCCGATGAACTGGAATGGACCGCTTGGTTGGACATGAGCTTGTCGACAGGACAGGACTGACGCTCCGTGTTCACATGTGAGTTGAAATTAGAAGATAAATATCTAGCAAAGCAAGTTGGGGGAGGGCCAAGAATCGGGGGTTGAAAACTGGGGGGATATAAGTGAAGTTGGAACGGGACGGTAAGAGTGAAAAAGAGTAAGATGGGGAATAAGTAGACGGGAAGGCTTGAGCAGTAGCATCCAAACCCCTATCCACCCTGCTCGATGCAACAGATGGGGCACCGTTGATTATCCTCTGCGTGGCCAGAGCATCAGCAATTTGTTTGAAGTGTGATTCATTGTATTGCGTGGGCAGGATGCTGTCAGGTTGCCCAGGCCTAGACAGGAGAACGATTAGGGTTCTCAACCAAATCCTTTGGTTCAAAAACCTGACCGCAAGGCAGCGGGTTTGGCGTTGGGCTACAAGGAGTCCATTTTAAGGAATAAGGTGCCACCCTCATTCCAACCCCCAACCTGGAGGACCAGGAGGCTGAGTTTGTCTGGCCTCTAACCATTGACCAATCTGGTATGAGTGGCTCTAAAGGTGCAAAAGCACCACCCAGCATAGCTCAACGGATCACTGAGGCATACAAACCATCGCACCACGGTAAGGTCCAGCCTCTTTGCGATGGATCGCGATGGATTGTGCTGCAATACAAAAGACAAGAAAAGGAAAACAAACGGCGGCACGCCTGCTGAATCCCCAGTAACGGATGGACATCGTTCCGGAGAACTAAAAGCTGGCTGCCGTAAAAGAGAGTCATATTATGCCTAACAAGTGAGATCGTGATTGGAGGGGGCTGCTAAGCAGGAGGAGGATGAACAAAGGAACCCACAACACAAACGCCATTGGGGCCGGCTCCAAGCCATATCAGCAAGTGTGTCCAACCTAACGTGTTCACCGTCCTTAGGACCCCAGCCAGGCAGTCGGGATGCACCAACCGACGCCAACTTCAAAGTGAGGGTTTTCATTCCTCTCGACCAAGTCATCACTTGGCCTCCCCTCCTCTTCTTCCAACCGCACCCACAACGCGCAAACAATGCACGTCGCGGGAGTCGGTGTGCTGGCATGCGCCACACGTGGCACAGCCATCGGAGCCTGGTGCGTGATATAATGGTGCTGAGCGGTTCACTCGCTCTTCCTGCACCAAATACGCGACATCGAACACGCTCATTGCTCACGCGGTGCTCCCACCAGACATGAGCTAAACTGCGAAGGCAGCGATGATCGAATGTGACGAGCCTCTTTATGTCTGTTGATCTGATGGGCCAGGTTTCACAACCATATAGGAGAGTTGAACGGACGGCTGCGTTGTAAACTCTGCCCTTCAGGGCGAGAGTAATGTCGCGTCTGCGCCACAAGTGGCGGAGATTGGCAAAAGCACCTCGAGCATTTGCTATACCGTTCGTAACCTCATCTTCAATCCCACGGCTGCTAATATAGCTGCCCAGGTACTTGAATTCCTGAACGACTTCTAGCAGATCACCACCAATCGTTAGCGCAGGGTTGGGTCCCTGCCAATCTTGGAGAAGTACTTTGCATTTCGATGGAGCAAAGCATAGCCCAAAACGATTGACAGCCAGTGCTAATCGGTCCAGTGCTGTTTGGCATGTTTGGGAGCTGTCAAAGATTAGGACAATATCGTCCGCATACTCCAAGTCAAGAAGTCGCTCACCAGGAAGTAGCTCCACACCTTCTAGTGAAGGCAAAGCGGACCAACGTACCGCAGGACAGTTGGTGGATGCGAGCGACGTAATTCAATGTCAGTTGCATGGAGCGACTTTGCCACAGAAAACGTGGACACAGTACAGACAGATTGAGAATGTGATGTCTTTGGAACGAGGCCCCACACGCTGAGTGTAAGCCGAGCAAGTGTTCGGTGGGCGCATTGAGCCTATTGAGCGAGACCGAAAGGATCAGCATGGTCAAGCGGATGACACAAATGTCTGCAAATAGACGTAGATGGGTGCCTGCCTCAAGAAAACAGAACGCACAGGTGGTAAAGCAAAAATCTCGTACGCGGCTTGATCTAGCCACCTGTCGGCACGAGTCCTTTGAGAGCCCTTTTGGCGTTCTTTGGGCGTTCTTTCTGAATCCCGACTAGACATTTTTGGGCGCAAAAAGGACACTCAGATAAAAAGCGCGGGAAAAATAGTTCGAAACGCAGACCAACCGGGGGCGCTGTGGGAACTGCTTATTCCATATTGGATCAGTGCAAAAACACTATTGGAGTTGCCAGGCGCTCATGTCATGGTGGAGAAACAAGGTGTTAAATGCAAATGAAAATAGATTGTCATTAAGTTTACATTACAGTTGTTCACTAACAGAACAACCTGGAATTTGATGCATGTGAATATTTTCGCGATCCTTGGCGTGTTGGAACCAAAGACGAATTTTGAATATACCCAAGGATTTTTGGCTTCAAGTGAATCCTTTGCGCATGACGGCGTCTGAAAATATGTATTCATGGAGTCAGTCACTTACCGACAAGATCCTAGCGAAGGAGTTTCCGCGAGGTGGTATCTGTCGTTTACGCCACGCTAATTCACTTTCCATGCAAAGTCGTCGGTCATTTCTGTAATCATGACATTATACGTCGCTTCGGTGAAAGTATTCCCCCCAACCTACAAGAATTGGTTGACCTTACGAAGAAATTTTCGCAGCATAAATAAATTTGGACGTTTTCCAGTTTAGCATTCAACACTTGTGTGTCTGAAACAGTGTCCATTGGCAAAGCATTTGCATGTAGTCAACGGGAAAACGTGATCATATCCATCCGTGAAGCGCCTACATGAGATTTGAACATCCCGTTGACGCCGAGAACGGAAGTCGGCGTCCGTACGCATGATAGCTTCTGGGTCAGGAGGAAAAGTCATGCGGTCATGCGAATGTTTTCCCATATACAGTAAAGAAGTTTACTGTTTACATACCTGCCCATTGGTGTATATTTCGCACAAGCTAAATAACCAGAGTGCAGTTTCACTTGTCTAGTCGGGACTCAGGAAGGACGCTCAGAGGACGTCAAAAGGACGTTCGTACCAACAGGGAACCTTGGTGAATAAACGTGTAAATGGATGGGTCTTATGGGTTTGTGCAGAACGAGTAAGCTTTGCTTTTCAGTGGTTCTGCCTCGAGGTCTTACGGCAGAGTCCCATTATTGTCGGAGGATTGCGACTCGGTAGTGGTATGGGGCACAGGAATTCAGCGTCTCGATTGTGGCGACCTGGAAGGGACTAGTGTGCAGGTAATCGGACGATGTTGGCGGTTATTGTTTTGCAAGTGAGGGCATAGACGTAGCAGTACACGGACATAAAGGTGTCAGACAGTGACAGTTCGGTAAACTTAAATAAGAACTAAATAAGAGGTGTGTCGCAAGCTAGTGTGTTAAAAGTAGTGACCCTACCAGCTAGCCTGGCGAGTGACCCGCCTTTCAACACTAAATGTCAACGAGGCAACAGCCAAGTATCTAGGCGTTATTTGAAGACCACTGTATTGTGTGCTGAGACAACAGTTTCAGGCAAGGCGTTTCAGACGAAGGCGATACGTGCACTAAAACTGGTTCTTCGGCACTGAAGTCAAAAACGGCGTCATGAGTTTGAGCGAGTGCCCTCTTACATGGTCTGTGTGGGCGCGAACGAGTAAGTCAGTAGTAGGGTGCCTGCTGTTAGTCAGGACAGAATGGATTAGGATGAGATCACCACGAAGCCTACGATACTTCAGAGAGACGAGTTTAAGGGCCGCAAAGCGCTCTTCGTACGAGAGATGGGATAGTCCTTCCACTCGGTTAGTGGCTCTGCGCTGGACGGTTTCCAGCACAGACTCGTCCTTCTTCAGATACGGCGGCTGGACCAGTATATTGTACTCCAACAGCGAACGTACCATGGTGCTATAGACGTGGACAAATATTTCTCTAGGGTATGACCCTAATGAACGCCCGATATGGGCCAAGCGCACGATGGCCTTTCTCACTAAGGTGGCTACGTTAGCGCTCGGGCTCAGGTCGGCGGATATAATAGTGCCTAGGTCGTGTTCCTGGGATGTGACGTTAAGACACCCGCCGCCGATAATGTACGGAAGGCTCGCACCTTGTCCGATGTGCGTGACCTTGCACTTGACGGTGTTGAACGGGAGCAAGTTTTTCGAGGCTCAGGAGTAGGCAGCAGCGATGTTTGTCTGAAGACGCTCCTGGTAGCTTGGCTCGTGGATAGGTCGCCATGTCTTAGCATCCCCCGCGTAGAACAGTATATGGCTGCTAATGGAAGCTGGTAGGTCATTAATGATCAAAGTGCATGGCAGGGGTCTGACGATAGATCCCTAGGAAACTCCTGTCGTCGCAGCCAGAGCGCTGGAGAGTGGGCCATTTACACGAACTTGGTAGGTGCGCCCCGATAGGTACTTAGCCAGGAGATGGTTTGGTAATCAATCGCAAAACGCGTTAGTTTAATTAAAAGTACTGCGTGAGTAACCCGGTCAAATGCTTTGGAAAAATCTAGGAAAACCACGTCAGTTTGCCTTTGTTGTCCAGGAATCAAGGGTTGTGAGAAGATTCGTGGTGTACGAGTGGGCCTTGAGGAACCCGTGCTGTCCCGGGGCTATTAGGGCTTGGCTTTTTAGATGGTAGTGCAGAACATTGTCTATGATGCCTTCCATTACTTTGGAAGCAGTGCTATCGGGCGGTAATTAGAAGGGTTTGTCCAGTCACCACCTTGTATATTGGTGTCATGAGCCCTTGCTTCCAAGTGTTCGGTGTGGGAGCGGCTGTACAGTGAGGCAAGCGGTTCGGCCAATACGGCAACACACACGCAGAAATATGGGAGGGATCCCATCCGAGCCCGGCGATGTGTCAGTCTTTAATTTTGCTAATTCTCCAGAACTCTCTGGTGTAAACTGTACCGGATCTCTGGCAGCGCTGGAGTGAAATTAGTGTCCACCATAGTACTGCGTGCCGAGGTGCTAAAAACGGACTCGTACTGAGCTTTTAGCAGTTCTGCAGCTTCTTTGTCTGGCGTTGTAGTGTTGCCTTCGGGTATGAGCAGGATGCCAATGGCAGCCCGCGATTTATTGAGAGAGGCAGTGTGTCGAAAAATGACTTAGTAGTTATCGGTGAAGCGTCTAGCGAAAGCAAGCTGATAGGGGTTTTGTCTTGGCGAACAGCTGCTACACAGGAATTTCGCACGCTACGGTAGTGTGCACGCGATTCAGAGTCACCAAGTAGTAAGAAACTGTCCCAGAGGGCGTTCTCCCTGATCAGTCTAAGTGTGGAGAGCTGAAGCTGCTTGTGGCGTTTCGGCGCAAAGCAGACGCGGTAGGAATGTATGCTCTAATGACATCGTTGATGTGAGCTAGGATGCAGTTCCAGTGGTCATCGACCGTGCGAGTATGTGCTGCGAGGAACCAGTCAACTCAAGAGAAATGATATTTGATCGCGTCATAGTCCGCTCGGTGAAAGTTCAGCCCAGTGGGTACTGTTTTAGCGTTGAGCGTGACTTACC